ACCAAAGTGTCCAATTCAACAAAAATGTCAACTTTCATTTTTAAAGAGTTTTTACATGTAAATGTCGAAAAAAAAAAACCATTAGTTTTTTAGTCTGGCGCCATGTGAAAGTACAGTTGAAGAGGTCTCATTTGAATGGTCGCACATGTTTTTCATCGGTATCATCATTTTTTTACCAGGGTCTCAATGGTCTCATGGGTTCTTCTGATTCTTGAATTTAAAATGGTTTGCTACTTCTTATTGGCATCATGATTCACTGGTCTCCTGTTTCTGTGGTTCCTGTAGTCCTCAGAGGCTGGTTCATGTACTTGTGGAGGATCACAAAACCGAGGAGAACTACATGTACAAGAACCACCATAACAGGAAGAGCCATGAGAAATACCAACCATGAGAATCAGGAAAACCAGGCATAACAGAGAGCCACAGAGCAAAGGAAACTAAGAGAACTTGAGAGCCACAAGTAACAGAGACTTAAAGAAGCAAGAGAATAACCAGAATGTTGGTCAAAGTAAATATTATCATCACCTGTCTCTACTAAATCTTGTGGAAGCGATTTAAACAACTGGTATTTAGCTCGTGGTAGCTGCTGTGCCTAGAAAAGAGAGGGGACATACATTAAGTCAGTAGCCATTTTATTGTGCATTTACTTTAAAAAGATAATCATCAGTAAAACCTGCAAAATGAAACAACCTTTTTAAAAACAAAAATATCAATAGCGCAGACAGTTGAACATTGTGAGAATAAACTGTTCTCAGATAAAATGGAATAATGTTATCTTTTGTACCCTACAAATAATTGGGAAAAGCATGATATCACTTTACCATCATGTAACAAGATTTCTGGATCTCAACAGTCCTTCTTTCAAGAAAGAAATGGCCATTTCATGATTTGTATTGTTGGATGATGAAAGAAAAGTCCTAAGTGCAATCATAGGAAAGTCATACAGTCCTATTTTTTTCTCCCATATAATTGCAGGGCCACAGTTTGCTGAGATCCACGAATGTTGCTAGTAAGCAGGACAACATGACATAATGACTTCTCTTTGTTGAGGCTAGGAAACAAAGAAAATTCTGACTCAAACAAGGTCTAATGCTTGTTTAACCACACTAGGGACAAATTTGGTTTGATTTTCAAGCTATTTCAAAAAACATGTAGTATACAAACTTACCGCCAAGCAACCAGCTTCTACAATATCCCCTGGATGATGTTTAATTCCTTTATGATTTAATGAGTTGCAAGCATAGCTTGAGAAGACATCTTCACTGTAAACAAAACAACCATGGAATTTAAACAGCTTGACGTGGCATGGCATATATTGTGCTACAAAAGTGAGTTAACAGTTGGTTTGGAATAGCAGGCCTAAAAATACTTTTTTTTTCCTTTTAGAAAGGGCATAATTGTGTCCTACTAGGTCACCATTTTAGCCAGGCAAACCAGAAAGGTTGTCAGACATCCACAGTGAACTCAATTGATGAAAAGATTAAAGCGGTTTCTCTTCCTCAATTTAAATCAAAATTAAAATAACATTATCTTTCGCTGTACTAATATTGCCAATTATCTTGTACTTCGTAACTTCTATCCTAATTTTTCGCTCTTCTTATGGTAATATGCACTAGTGTGTGTGTGTATATCAGTGTGTTTGTGTGTATACAGTCTGATACGCTGCCATATTGTACTCCACACAATAAACTTAGTTCAATCATTTTACTGAATCTGGCTTCTTGGCATTTTAAACTTATTAGTTATTTCAGAAAGTCAGTACCCCTTTTAGTTAATTGATTAATTTAACAACTTGTAAATAACTATAATATTCTGCTTTGGGTACAATAAAAATTGTTGTTGTTTTTGTTGTTGCTGTTGTTGTGAAACCAGTACAGTCAAACCCTGTTATTTTGGACACTGAGGGGGCCATAGAAAATGTCCGTATTAGTGGGGTGTCCATAATAAGCAGGTTGAATTTAGAGAAAATGTAAGGGCTTTCTTACCCCATGGACAAAGCAAACTGTCCGTAATAATGAGGTGTCCGTATTAAGCGGGTGTCCATAAAGTGGGGTTTGATTATATTAGATGGAGACCCTTGTGGAATAATCTTGTGTCCATTTAATACAGGAAATAACCATAAAGAGGCTCAAGTATTAAGATGGAATCCACCGGGAAACTGAGTCATTTTAATTTAATTCTGAAAATTTCATGTGAAAGATGCAATTTTGTGAAATTTGGCATTTCATTTTCTTGGGCTTCAATAAGAAATTTTCTTTGGTATTATTACAGATGACTAATTACATCTTAAGCCCTTGAAAAATGTAAAAAAGAATGCAATATGCTTAAATTATTCTGGTACAAGGTTTTTGTCCACTGAAATCAAAATTATTCAGTTTCCTGGTGGATTCCGTCTTAAGGTCAAATGAGTAAAATAAGCCGTTATACAAACAAAATGAAATCAGAAAACAGTACTGTACAACTGATCAACAGGTTAGTAAAGGCTGCCGGTATGCATTGCATGTTGATCATGATTCTGTGACTGTTAAAAAAACAACCAACCAAAGATTTATTGCTTTATTCTTTTCTCCTTGAGTATTTGATTGATATTTTAGATAAAAAACCCTGCCTTCTATTACTATTACTGAACCAATCAGAAAATCTCTCAGGCCAGCCCCATTAAAAACCCTCATCGATTGAGATTAGCCGGTGTAGAGGGGGGGGGGGGGGACATAAAATAGAAACAATGCCTATGACCATGAAATAAATCAAGCTAGGCTTGGGCTCGTGTGCATATACACCTTTTAAAATTTCAGTAAATTATCTAAGTTAAATAAGTTCCCCCCATTAATAACACAACTAAGCGAAACCTTGCTACATAAAAGAAAACTCAACCAAGAGTACAAACCTTCGACTTTCTGCCACAACGCCGTGCGCCATCTTGTTCAGCTCCTCGTGTTCCTCGCTCGGGTTTTCAGTGCGATTAATTACAACCCAGCGTGGCGGAACAGGTGATTCTGGACTAGACAGAGCCATGGTTACCTTCTGATTATAGCAATTTAAAGGAAAAAACAATCATTTTCGGTATTTTTACACTCCAATCCCTCTTGTGATGAATTCTATCGTTTCCCGCATTTTTAATTATTACCGCCATACCTTGCGGGCGCAAATGAGCCTAGGCCCCAGATCGTCTGCTGGGGTTTTCGATTCCACCCTTCTCCCCCAAAGGACGGGAAATTTGGGATAGCTGTAAGTGCGTTCAAGCAAGATTTCTAAAACCTGACGCACTCGAAGACCTAAGCACCGCAAAGGTTTTGCTGCTCAAGAAGATATTTCTCGTACTGGATCATGTCAAGTATGCCGTAAATCCTCTATTAAGCCCCCCTCTCAATCTCTAATAAATAAGATAAATAAGCTCCCTCCCCCAATACACCCCCTTTTCTGGGGAAGAAAGTTAGTAAGCCCCCCGCCCCCCATCCTCTCCCCTAATTATTCTTCACTAATAAATGATAGACTGTACAATCAATCTCGACCGTAAAACTTCGGTGTGGACTGAGACAGAATGGTTCATTTACCAACTCTGGAAGTTCGGATCTGGTTCTGATCCTAGGGTGCATGACCTCCAACCTCCTTGTACTTGAGCTTTTCCACTTTGTACTTTAGTTCTTTACCGAGAACTCATACCATCATCTTTCTAAATTAAACAAGTCGCCCGTCTTTATTAAGCCCCCTCTCAAATGAGCTTCAAATTCCTTAGATCCTCATCGCCCCTCAGTCCCATCAACTCAACGAACATTTTTTCATTCGATCGTTGGCGGCTCACTCAATTTAAATAACGTCAGAGATGTGTTTATTGAGAATTATTATTCATTCAAAATATTTTCCCGATTCTGATTGGCTAAAAGCACACGTTTAATTCACCATAACCGGTTACTGATGACTAAACTTGGAGGAATTTTGTGTTTAGCGAGGAAATGAGGTCAAAAATGCAGCGTTCTTACAGTTAATGCACAGTCAACCGAGAAGACCTGGGGACGAGGTTGACTTGTTTTGGTAGTTAACTTGAAAAAATAGCTAAAAACATGGCAAGAAAAACAAGAAGACAACTCGAAGGGCGACATCTGCTATTTGGAGAATATTTGCGTAGCTGAACAACCCTAAACGTGCACTATCTAGGATGAACTTAACATCGATGGATCGATGGAGATAGGCGTGTTTTAGTCATTTTTTAAACTAGGAATTATTTTGAATGAATAATAAAAACAATTATTGAATTCGGCTTTCGTATCATATGAAGAATTATGGAGTTCTCGGAGGGTGTTATCCGTCGACGCCGCACGATCTCCATAATTCTTCATGAGATACTCAGCATCATTCATTAATTGCTAATTAATTTCTGCTAATAACTTTCTTCTTGAATCTATTACCGCCGCGGACGAATCTTCAACAGTTTCCTTTCATTTTGCAATATTGTACCACATGCAACAACCATACTGCGCTTGGGCTGCCTGTTAGATCAGCTGGCCCTCCCATTTTTTTGCGCGCGCGCGCGTGTGAGAGTTATGGCGGTGAAGCTGCGAGGGGAATTTCAAAACGTCTCCTCTTTTTCCCCAAGGTGAGCGGCTTTGCAGCTTCTCTGCCAAAACTCTGGACGCGCTTCTAATCCCGCTGACTACGCGGGCTGCAGATAGTGAAGAAACGAAAACAGCTAGCATGTGACAGCTTAATGATTTGTTTTTATTTTTACGTGAGAGATCGAGGAATCTAAAAACAGTCTAAAAAATATAAATATGGCACGCTATGACCCAGGCGTTTTGCAAGAACATTCCTGGGTAAAGAGCTCAGTCCTGATCATGAGATCCTAGGTGCCTTACTGCTAATACGGTTCTTGTTATGCTTCTACTTTTACTTCCTATTCAAACGTTTTAAGATTACTTTCTCGATATGATCATTACTGGTTAACTGTTTATACTCGTTTGGTCTGAAATTGTCTGATTACTGGGGAAGCTCCTTCTCCGTATTTAATCACCACTAGCTTCAGGTGGCACGTTGTAATATGGACGATCTTCATTGTGTTCGTTTAGATGCAAGTATGGTGCATCCCTCTCCATTATCACCTCCAGTTTTTCGATCAGTTGATAGAAACTGGGACGAGAGCGAGGTTCCTCTTTCCAGCAGTCAGCCATCAGCTCATATCTGTTATGGACAAAAAAAAAAAAAACAAACAAAAAAACAAACCAATTGAAGTTAGTCAAAGTTCCAATCCATTATTACATGTATAGACACCGTTTTTCCGATTTAGTGGAAGAGGTTTCCTTTAGACCAGCTGGGAGCCACTCACGCCGGATCATTAGGCTTGTCGGTTTCTTGCCAAGCCTGCAAGCAAGCTCTCCATTTGGGGGATCTCTTCAACTACACGCACGTGCGACACGCGAGAGGAAACACGACAGCGAGGGGCCCCCCGCTCGCGCGTACTCGCGCGGTTCGTTTTCCTCGCCCAAATGGAGAGCTTGCTCGCAGGCTAATTCTTGCTCTGTCGATCTCTGTTAAATAACACTATCATATTACTGTATGAAACAAATATTTAAGCTAAGATTTTGCCGTCTGTCTGTTCAGTAATCACTTTGATTAAAGAAAACGTCAAAATCGAAACCGACTTGTCCTCTACAACTTTCAAGGCTATTTATAACTAAAAAGACGCACGGAAAAATCGAATCTTTTTGTCAGTTCTAAGACGATTCTGATCAAGAAACGTACACATCATCGGAGCACATGTCAGGCCTTTCCATGCGATAACCAGCGCCAAGCAGTCGATACAACTCTGAGTTGGTCAGCGTGGGGTATGGTACGCCTCCTGATCACGTTATGCGAAAGAAAAAATATACATGTTATTATTTTAAAATACGGCTCATTCCCCTGGATAGCTTTCTCCTGTAAATGTCAATGTCGACGACTCTTCATTCCCCCGTACTCAATAATGGCGTCTTGCAATAGAATAGTGATTGAGCAGGGGTCAGAATTGCATTGAAATGTGTCTCCAAAGAAAACAGGGTGTTTAGTAATAAGGCTCCTCTTTCCAGAAAACAACTAATGCGTGCATATTTGATGCCGATTATCACTTATCAGACATAGAGCCTAGTTCAAAACAAAAGTGCCTAGCTTGCCACAAATAAAAGTCATCAGGTATCAGCCTGTTTCCTGGTAACAATAACCTTATTTAATAAGGACTCACTCTTTAAGTCCCAGTGTCGTCCTTTGATATCAGTCGCACAATTCAAGTCATATACCCCGTGGCAACAGACGAGGAGAGTTCTTGGGATTCCCCTCCCCTTGGAAGTTTACATGATTAGTGTGTGACGGTCTACTCACCCAATGTAGCCATCTCCCAAAGAACAACACCAAAAGACCAACTATAGAGAAAAGCACAGAGGTCGTGAATATTCCCACTGCATTAACATTACTTTTCCTCTCTTCTTTTTACTTGGTGAACTTAAGGCAAAAGGGCGCATCTCCACCTTTCCATGCCTTCGCCCTTGACTGAACCCTATGACACCAGGCCTCAGTTGCTCAAAGCCCTTAGCCAATGGCCTAGCAAGGTTAATAGAGTAGGGATCGGAAAAGAATACCAATTTAGGTGACGGGTCTGCCTCATAATCATAACTAAATGATCTTTGCATACACTCCGAATTACGAATTCAGCAGACGCCGCTCTCGCTCAGGACTTATATGCAAACTATGTAGTCCCGAGTCGAAATTATATTGACAAGTACGAAATCAGCCACTATAACCACTGAAATTCCTAGATCGGTTTGAAATAAACACGCTGATCACGACTTTTAGGGAAGCTGACTAAGGTTTTCTGAGCAGAATTTATCGAAATGTGTTTAAAAGAGTGGGATTTTTTATACTCACACATCACTTTTGGTGGTGTAAAGGCCTTGATAAAGTGCTTCGGGGGCCATCCATTTTACAGGAAGTTTTTTGGACTTCGCTGAGCTTCTGACATCTTCATAGATTTGTCTCATCAACCCAAAGTCTGACACTTTGATTTGGTTGTCATGGCCAACAAGAACATTACGGGCAGCAAGGTCTCTGTGAACAAGATTGTTTTCGGCCAGATGATTCTAATTTTAAGAAGGAAAGAGAAAAAATGAAAATAAGTACCATATAAAACTTCAGTTACGGAGCTACTATTGCCTAAAAAGGCATGGGTAAAGGCGTGAAAATTATAGGAGCCAATAATCAAAAGTAAAATATCACGACTGAACTGATCTAAATGATTCAAGTTCAGACAAAACATGCCGAATTTGGTTCGATCGACCATGACAAATTCTCCTCTAAAAACCATTAATCATCTAGAAAATTAACTTATTTATCCTTTATTTCTTGCTTGTGGAATAGTCTTTGATAACGATCTTTGAAGGATATCTGAAAACAAAACCTGAATGGAAGCAACGTTTCTCAGAAAATAATCATATAGTAATTACCATTCCTTTAGCAATTTGCCAAGCAAATGAAAAGAGTTGTTTGGCTCGAAAGTTCTCCTCCGCGTCTTCTTCATCACTGCTGAGATCCTCGTGTGTGCTTTCGATTACGGGTGGCATGGCGGGTGAAGGATTCGCTTGACTTTTTCCTGTTGCCGCTTGGCTGCTTAGTAGCCAGTCTTTTTCCGTTACTTTCCACTCCACATCCTTAGGGAAATTAACAAAAAAATAAATAATGGTCTAGCTTAATGAACTCGAAGAAATCTTACAGATCGACTTAATCGCTAAGACTCAGCTTTTGCGCAACTAGAACTCGGCGAGCCGAGATATCTCATCGAGATCATTCAGCTGCTCTTTTCAAAGCCTTGAACGCCCTTGTGAACGGCCATTCTTCAGACGTTGCGGTCTGTGGCGAAGGTTTCCCATCGGACAGTGGGATTCGATTCAGTTTTTTGTTTCAGGGATTCTTTGAACCTCTTTAGTGGGTGTCCAATGCTACGTGTACCGCTGGCCACCTCAGAGAAGAAGACCATCTTCGGGAGGTGCGTGTCCAAACCACCTGCCGACTGTATCAAAGGCCTTGGTCAGGTGCACAAAGAGGATGTACCTAGGCTCTGATTCTGCTCGCGGCATTTTTCTTGATCTTTCCTACGGCGAATATCATGTCGATTGTCCCTCCGTTTCTCCTGAAGGCACACTGACTCTCGGACAAGAAATCATCCAAGAGGTCGTGTGTGATACAGCTCAGTATGATGAGTTCCATGAGATTTCCTGGAATACTCAACGGCGAGATGCCTCTGTGGCTGTCACACGATGCTCTGTCATCTTTGTTCTTGTACAGGTGGATGGCTTTGGTGTCCTTGAGGTCGTTACAGAGGTATCTCATCAGGAACAGGTGCTTTCCCAGCCTGGAGCTGCTTATTTTTTTTCTGGGTTTCCTCCAGTGTTGGGGGATCGTCAAGAGAGCTTAGAACCGGGCGATGAAGTATATCTTGGATTGCTTACTGGTCGATTTGTTGAGAAGTTGGCTAAAGATTTTTCACCAACTTTGAACGATATCAGACTTCGCTGTAAGCAGGGTTCCAGCCGAATATGGGACAGGATGAAATTGAAAGAGGGGCCATATATACAGTCTTCGAGCCCTCGAAGAACCTCTTAAAGTTGTGCTCGTCTGAGTATTGCTGCAGTTCTGCAGCCTTGTGTTGCCACCAGGTATCCTTCATCTGTCTCAGCCCAGTCTGGACTTTGTTCCTGAGGTGCTTGTTTAATTGAGACGATCGTGCCTGGCAGTCGAGGTCTTTTCCTAAAGCCAATTGCTAAATGCTCCCTGCTTTTGCTTCAGAAGGCATGCGTTTTCTTCGTTGTTGTTTTCAAACCAGTCGTGGTGTTTTCGCTCCTTCTGTCCAAGTGTCAATTTGCAAAATCAAATGCTGCATCTCTGACTACCTAATTAAATATGCATATTTTGTAAAATGCTATTTAAACCGGTTTGCTTCAATCAGTGATCCTGAAAAGCGAACTAAAACTGTGGCTTAATGAAAAAAACGCGTAAAACGTGATTTCAAATAACACGTGACATTTCTTCATCATTGACGTCACAAAACACGTTTTCCTTCCTTTCTTAGGAATACACTTCTCAGCTGCATCCATTTGGGCCTCGATCATCGTAGTATACAGATCGTTCACAGTGTGTTTTTCCTCAAGCTCGTACAGGGCCTCAAAGCGATTCTTAACTTCCACAGTATAAGCCTCTCTTACGGAATGGCCGGTGCTAAAACAATGCCAGTCGAAACTGGTACGTTTGGCAGTTGTTTTCCCATTGGCTAGCTTAGCAAACTGAGGCGTAGTTTAGTTACGACAATTTTATGGCCGGAATATACTGTACTGAGAGGGTCATATGCCTGATAGTCTTTGAGACACTGTCCCACTATTTCCTGTTTACCAGTATATAATCAAGTTTGGCTTTGCAACCATTTGGGTACATGAACATCCACAACTTTTGAAGCTCTTTTGGAAGCGTGTGTTTTAAATTATAAGCCCACATGCAGTAGCCATATCCAACATAAACGTCTTTTTTCCAAAGCTAAACCCATTACAGTCTAAGGGACTGATTTACGCATTCAAATATTACCACATATGATTTAAGGTTATGTCCAGGTAGCTTCTTTATTAATTCAGAGAGTGTGTTGCAGAAGTCTAGAGCATCGCTGTCATCCGCGCAGTTCGTTGGACTAATAATAAATGTCTTTATTGCTCATTAAATAAAAATACATATACAATGTTACAGGATAAAAAGATTAAAAGTTCACCTAAATTACAATAGAATAAAAAGATTAAAAAATACAAAAAAATAGTTCCACATTTCTGACATAAAATATCATGAAAGGATGTGTTTAAAAATTAATCTATTTATAACGTTCGGTGTTTATCTTGGCCTTTGGAAGCTTTTACGTCGAAGATTAGATTGTTCTTTTCTTGCGGTAAGCACACCTTCAGAGGGTGGTTATTATGCTGTTTACCTTTTTGAAAAATCGCTTTATCTTGTTTTGTAGTAATGATCTAATATTTAACTGAGTAGATATAAAGCGTAACTTATAGCATCTGTCTAAAAATCGCTGAAGGACATTAATTTCCGCATCGGTAGCCTGCGTAGCTGGCGGTATTGTGTACTAGGCGAGGGAGATTTGGCGGCGGAGCCGCTGTACCAGTCGAGTGAGAGTTGGCTGTGGAGCCGCCACGAGCGGCGAAGCCGCGAGAAATAGTATTTCAAACGCCTCGTCCCCACTCCCTTTTTTTGGATCGCGCCTCCGCCACCAAAACTTTAATCACACAATACCGCCAGCTGCGCAGGCTACCGCATGGAGGCACCATAAACAGATAGTCCGTAGGTTATGTTAGGGAGAACAATACTATAGAAGAGATAATCAATTTCTGTCCAAATCAATGTTTTGCTGGGCTCATTGAGACAAATCCCAGCCAGCGATGCTGGGGGAGCGCCAGACCTTTCAGCGGTGGGCGCGTTTTCTGTAGGGGTTGTCTCCTTTAGCCTGTGGCAAAAAAAACCCCGACTGCCAGGCAACAGTTTCGTGACCTTGACAGGCCTAACGGGTGTTACGCCTTGCCCAAGGGCTACCCGGAACTATGAATTGCAGGGTAGGGAGGTTCATGACCCTGACGCACCAAATGCACCAAGTACACCAAGTACCCACATACCCACACCCGCATTTCTTGTAGTGGTAAATAATTATAAAACTTCTTACATGATTTGCAGCGGAAGTTGAGGGAATCACTTCAAGAACGGCATCTTTGTCGCTTTGCTGTGCAATGTTCACTTGCTCCTTGTGTGCAGAATGTTCATCGTCCTTAGCCTCACTATTAAAGGGGAACCTTTGCTAAATGATTTTTAAAAAAGGCGATTAATTTATATGTAAGAAAATTGTAACATTACATTGTTACAAGCTACTGTCTGTAACTAAAAATTAAAATATCACACAAGTTTAGGCAGACTAATGCCTTTTTCTTCTTATTGTTTTATTTGCTAGTTCCCTCAGCTTAAAATCCAATTTAAATCATGCTATAAAATCTTATGCACTAATAATTATCTCTCATGAGTTTCCGGGTACTTGTGCTAAAACTATGTAATTCGATTAACAGAAGACAGAAAGGAGGTGAATTTGTTCATTTAAAGTTCCAGTGAAATAAGATGGAAATTTTATTTATCATGCTTCAAAAACCACGATATATAATTCAATAACAATAGTCTTTTGTTACGTGATATCTCTTCAGTCACTGAAACGTCACCTTTCGCTTCGCCCAATGCTCTTAGGAATGAAATATATCATGTTACACCCTTCGTATCGCGAGACAAGGCATCCTCGAAGAACCAGAGGCAGTCAGTCGGGTCGGGAGAAAAGGGGCAGCAAAAAATAGTTTTCAAGCAAGGGCGGAAGAGCCCCTGGGTGCCAACCCTTACTAAACTATTTCCAAACGGTCAAGTTGACTGTGTGCAAAGAATGCTTTGTATTATTGTGCCCAATCGATAAACACCATCTCCTGAGTTCTTTTGTTGTGTTCGTACACGACAGCTATTGTCTCGCCAATATGATACTTGTTTGGCTCTTACACCAAAGAAATACACGCTGTCAGGAAAGTGTCAGTTCGATATAAAACTCGTCCATGAATTCCAAAAAACTGCAACTGTCTACCCGAAAACTAAATTTGGAAACGTATGTAAGGGTATTTAAAAGATGCTTATCCAAAAACATAAACATGAGCTTACAAAACGTATTCAAGCTTGCATCGATCCTTATCGATCACACCATCGTAAATATCATTTACGATACCTTGTGACAGAATGGTCTAGGAGCAAATTGGAACGGTCCCGTTGATAGCATCTGAAACGTCTTCCGAAATCATCAGTTGTTCCTCCGTTTCTGGTAGGGGCAAAGTAGGAAAAGCCAAGATTCCCCTTGCACACCCAACCTTGGTCATCCTCGGAGACCCAGGGGCAGTTAGTTGGGTCGATAAAATGTTCGTGGTGAAAGTTCACCACGAACATTTTATCGACCCGACTAACTGCCCCTGGGTCTCCGAGGATGAACCTTGGTGAAAGAACCGGACAAGTATGGCGAGATAATAGCCGTCGTGTACGAACACACGAAAAGAAAATAGGAGCCCCTGTTTGCCCATTGGGCAAAATATCACAAAGCATTTTTTTGTGCCCAATCAGGAGTCAGTACTCGCTGGATTGTTTGAGAATGGTCTGGTGAGAGTCCGTAAACAGGAGCTCAAACGTTTTCTCCCGAACCACCTGACTGCCCCTAGGCCTCCAAGGATGGAGAGAAGGCCGCTTGTGGCTTGAGTGTGTTTATTGAAATGCTTACATCAGGGAGACTGTGAGTGGCTGATGCCATGTCCTTTGGGTCGCCACTCTGGCGCAATGAAGTCATTTCCATAGTGACCTGAGCCTGCTCTTCCTTTGTCGTTTTCTTCGAAAGTTTGCCTGCTTGTTTTTCCTAGGATGAAGGAAAGACCGTTCAATCCACCCTATAAGAGTGTTCCACTTTCCCTCTTATACCACCCTATAAAAAAGACATCAAAAAAATTTTGTCAGAGGGCATTAAACATAATAACGTTTTGGTGATTTTTACAAGCATGGAAACAATTTCAGTGTCTTAATATCGTCTTAGGACGCTTTCCATTTGTGAGAACTGACCGGCCAGACCGTTCCAGTCATAAAGAGAATTTCACTTTTAATCAAAACTATCAGTCAGATGCCAAATAGCAGGCACAAAGGAAATGGTGTTTCAACAAAAGCTCTTGCAAAAAAGCATTTTTCATTGTCAAAATGACTGGTGCCGGCCGGATAATGGTCTGGCCGGCCAATTCTGACTTTTGGAAAGCGCCCTTAATAAAGTCTTTGATTACGTACAATGAGCCGTCAACCAGACACAGAACAAACAACGAACGGTTGGAGACTTTGAAGAATAGAAAAAATATCAGGGTCAAACAAAAATGGATAAAATATTGAATCAGTACATTTTGTTAACAAGCCTACCTTATCTCTGGTCTCTCCCTGATCTTTCAGAACCTCTTTGTCAGCATATGATCTCTCGGAGGCTTTAAGTTCGTTGATCTAGACTTCCAGCAAGCAACATTATCAGTTTCGGAACAAATAAAGACCAATACATCTGTGTGACTTTGCTTAAAGGTGACCGCAAAGTTTTCGCTTAAACACGGGCATCAGGCCAGGGAAGCCAAAAATATCCAGAGAGCTTATCACAGAGCTTAGGCCCAGACCTTATAGGGGGTGGGTGGCTGGCTTTTTTTTGTCAAAAGTAGGGGGGTAGGTAGGGGAGATTTTGTCACTTTGATAGATTATCAAGCCAGAATGCAGTTCAAAGTCAAGGCAATTTCCCTGTAGGTTAACACAGCCAAATAAATGCTGTGACTCATAATCGTAACATTACTAGCAGAGCTTGGGGGGAGTGAGTTTCATGGGTGTTGAGGATGCGTTCTTGCTCCTTGGACTTGGCTGTCTATAGAGTGAGTGCAGGTACCTTGTATAAAATCCAGTGAGATATATGATAAGGTTAAAACATCTTCCCTTAAGCACTGAGTAATCTCGGGAGAAAGTATTTTCTCTTTGTAACAAAAGTTATAAAATAATTCTTATGATTTCAATAACAAGGACTTTATCGGGTATAAAATTGGCATCTTCGCAGATGTAAATCTGCAATAGTCCCAATACATGATAGGGCTGGAAGCTATATAGTCATAAAAAAATGGTGGTCTACACTTTCAGAACACGAGAACACGCTGCAATGAGATTTTCTTGACTTTCTAACCTTTTTTCTTCTGCGGCGAAGCCAAGTCAAGAGGTCACCACACGGAACGTATTCTATGACCAGGAACATTTTCTCTTCATGCGTGCAGCATCCAACCATAGATACAACGTTCTTATGTGAGCCTAACATCTTCATCTGTTCAATCTCAAAAGTGAACTCTTCTTTCTGTGCTTCAGATGGATCATCTAAAGACAATTGAATAAAATGATTCTGTCTTCTTCCAGTCGTGCGGTGACAGCATTAAATTGTTAATTCAGTGCTAGATTTTTCATTTGCATGACAAATATTCAACCCTTTTTATTGCACGCATTCTCACCTCATATGCACAAAAGGACAGGTACATTTTACACTTGTAATTGCATTTCAATTTAATATTCACGTTACCACCCCATCTTTTTTAATAACAGCCTCAGACGGGATTACTGGAACAGTCAGGGTGGGTGCGGCGAGCTACCTTGAACCCCTACCCTATTTACCCTATCTCAGGCCTTAACCGTTGTTTTAGAAGGAGAACAATGATGAAAAGAATAAACGACAACAACAGCAATACCAACAGCAACCAAAATAATAATAATAATAATAATAATAATAATAATAAAATTTTAATTTTGATTTTTTCTTTATTTCCTTCTCTCGGAAAGGTCCAAACGAGAACTAAAAAAGTCCTTTCTGTTGCATAGAAAGAACTGAAAATAAGTTACAATTTCAAGCGCTTATCGGCTTTGTCTCTCCTTTATGTACATTAAAATGGTTCTTACCATGTAAAACTTTGACAGCCACCACCTGTGGTGCCTTCGGCTTCCTGGATGATACAGGCCATTTTGAAGTCTCAGTGACCAACGCCTCCATTTCATCACTCTTACTAAAGGTTGCTTTGTAAACAACACCAAACGCTCCTCTCCCCAGCTCTTCCTCGAATTCTATTTGCTAAGGCAATATTTCCCACTTATCAGAAAGCTGTGAATCAGGTGATCTGGGGACATATATATATATATATATATATATATAGAAAACGCCAAACAATTGCTCAGGAAAAACAACTAATCGTTAATTAATTAATTGACGACATACCCACGTCATATACGTAATACAAATTTGCGCAAGAGCAGAGACATCACAGCTTATACAATCAGAGAAAAACGGTTCTTTAGTGGAAAAACTTCAAAAGTAGCACAAGCTAGCCTCAAATTGTAAGGATAGAGAGACATTTAGATTTAAAGTTTTCCGCGTTAACACAGAAAACGCCAAAGAATTGTGCACGAAAATAAGTACAACTCATTAATCAATCTATTGATGCCATACCCACGTCATACACGTAATTGTCAATTTATGGTATATAAAGAGTTGTGACACATAGTTAATGCAACAAGTCCAACGGCGCGTAAGCGACCGGACCAGCTGAAACCGTAAAATCCGCTGAAGAAGACAGTAAAGTCGAAACCGGTCCGGAAAATGGCTTGTTTTGGTCGAGACGGCTGGATCGGTGCTCAACCATAAGTACCATCCTTAATTTCCAGTGCGAAACCGCAAGGGAGGTTCCGTAACGGGGAAGGAGAAGCATGCTGAACCTCGACACCTTCTCTTGGCAAGAGAGCCCGTGCAATATATATATATATATATATATATATATATATATATATATATATATATATATATATATATATATATATATATATATATATATATATATATATAGATAGATAGATAGATAGATAGATAGATAGATAGATAGATAGATAGATAGATAGATAGATAGATAGATAGATAGATAGATAGATAGATAGATAGATAGATATATATATATATATATAATAAAAGCTGGATTTTCGTCTACGAATCATTAAGACAGATTAAGGTTGCTATTGATCAAAAAGCGTTCGAGAGTAATCGTAATGATAGCCTGGCTGTTATCGGTTCAAACACCACATTTTCAACCTGAAAAACACACCATCGCTAAAACGTTCGGTTTGTACAAGACTGTTTGTACAGATAAGAACGTGTAGAGAAACCGCGGAACAAAGCATTGAACGGGAGCATCGGAAATGCCTTTAAATCCCGTACCGTAAAATTCCGAAAATAAGCCCCGGGGCTTGTATTTTTCAAAGGCCCTTTTTGAGGGGATTATTTTTGGAGGGGCTTATATTCGGAGGGGCTTTTCTATGGAGCGAAATTTGCGTTTCAAAATCGATGGGGCTAGCCTTATAGTTGGAAGGAAATTTACCGTTTTTGCTTTGTTTTACTTTGTATTTGAGGGCAATTTCCAAGTACAAGCCCCCGGGGGGGCTTATATTTGGGGGAGCGATTTAACGAAGGGTTCTTTGCGTTACGAGTTTGGGGGGCTTATACATGGAGGGGCTTATTTTCGGAATTTTACGGTATGCGTTTCCGAAAACTTTTAAAAAGCCACCACCCTCACCCTCTCCGTTTCCGGTAATTGACCCAGAATACCAAAAGTTGAGTTTCTTTCCGCTGAATGTTCGTGCTCAGGCTCTTGGGCGTTGAGTTTAGGTTACATTCTACCAACGTCGAACGCAATAATATTTTTTTATCAATCACGTCAATTTTTAATTTAATTTTCTAGCTATTATTCTTTAGCATCTCTTCTTTTTTACTGTCTTTTAGGTTTTCAACCCCTTGGCTAAAACAAAATGCTTGATTATTTTAAATAGGAATTGCAACCTGAGTGACTTAATTCCTTGTAACTATCATCAAGGCAGGTGCACGACGCTGTGTAAGTGGCCACGTGATGCAATCTAACCAATAACATCGCGCTAAAATCAAATGCTCCGAACGTAACATTTGGCTTATGTGTTTTTGATACACTTCAACTGGAGAAACAATTACGCTGAACATTGTGGTTAGCAAATTAAAAGCTACCCAAACCTTTCAATAGTCTTTAACTTCTTTCTTCTGTAGCACCAGACGAAAAAAGCGACGGAGAGCAGCAAAAAAGTGGAGGTGACACCAACTGAGATGTAGATGACTTTAGAAATGGCGCGGGTCGGATTTTCTGAAACTAAAGGTATTGCATTATAATAAATTGGCATAGGAAACGTGCGACTGTGCGCTGAATAAAACAGGTGCATTAACTTACGAAAAATTAAAAAAAAAGCCTTCAAAACTACCTAGCCGCTAAACATGGCTTTTCTTCCTTCACGGATCTTCGTTAAATAATCTAAGTTCCCCCTGTTTCTGAGGAACATTGCAAGGCGGGCATAAATTGACAATTTTTTAACTTTTTTGTGTCCTTCATACTTACTACTATTACACAGATGTCCTTCACAACAGTGTAAATGTTGATGTTCTAATTGTTGGCATTGATCAGCGGATATACAGCCTTGAATGGTGATTTGTTCGCCGCTTGCCGTTGTATTGTCGTATTGGAAACAAAGGTTTTCTGGAAATGTACAGTTGACTGTAATGGGAACAGATGAATCCCTGCTGGGGTACTCATAACAAACAGTACCTAAAGATAAATGCAGAATTATAGATAGAAGTTTTTAAAACCATCGAGTATCTCGCTGACAAGGTCACTTACGCCAAAGTCTGGGGCAAAGGCGTGAACATATAGCTTTTAGACAAGCCTAGAAGCGGAGCTTTTATTACATTGGAAGCTATTCACTAAAATTTGATAGACTTTAACTCGAAAATACTAAACGAAAGTTTAAGAGGAAAAACGTAATGCACATTTCGCCCAATTTTAGAGAAAAAGCAATAATTTTCATACAACTTCTTTTGTGGTTGTTGCCGTATGAATAAATAATTAGCTAAGTAGATTAGTGTTATCCAGGGCTCTCATATTGAGCATAGGCTATTTGTGCAATAAAATGTTAAGTTTAACCTTCTTGATGTGGATGATATAAAACGTACTTGTTACTGACGCTGGCATTTCACAAATATAGTTCTTTTTTTCGTTACAGTCCCCCGCCTTTTCTATCGTTCCAGTGTCTGTCTCCATTTGCAAACAATTCGAATCACCTTTTCGGCCAATCCATACGTGCTGTATAAAGGAATTACAAGGGATAGAGGAAAAACAAACATTAAATGGAACAATTTACCTAAAAATCCACGATAAAGGTGGCTGGAAACACGGTGATCATTGGAGTGTCGTTCAAGACTCGTTGAAGGTATAAGGCTCATATTTGGTATGGACAGTTTAGAAGTGAGATTTCGATCGTTGCCATGGCAACAAGGATATATCGAAAAAGCCTAATTTTTTAATTTGGTAGGTTTACGCAAATCGAGTCATTAGATTTCCTTATGAATGTTACCGTTAAGAAATCCTAATTTTTTCACTCAACTTGTCCAAATTGTAACAATTAGTTTTTGAAATTTTCAGGGAAATAGCTATCATGTGAAAATTGAATGTTTCTACTGTTTAAAGCCGTGATATTAACGCCATTGAACATTATATGACCAATCATTTTTCCGTTTCGTGATTTACGCTTGAAGTGTTGTTAGTCATTTTAGAAAAAAGTATCTGCCACAAATTTTGTATTATTGGTCAATCTTTTATGCTCTGGTTTCTTTTAGCAAAGTATAGTAGTCATTGTCTTAGTTATTCGCTAGTTATTCACACCAGTCTTAGGCTATATATTTAAGTTCTTTCCTTTTTTTACCTTATATGATGATTTCTCGGCCAAGACTTTTCTAAGACTGATTGATTAAAGCTGATGTTGTTGCGGGAGTTGTCCGCCTGATGTAACTAAGATCAGCTGTAAGATCACTGCCATTAGTATGACAGTATGCAGTTTCTTAATTACTTACAATCAAATTAAGTTAATAACTTTTGTCAAAAAGGACATCATTATCCAATCAAGATATTATTTTAGATCAAGACGTCTCAGCTGATGAGGGGCAGAACAATTGGCTTTATATCAAATTCACCTGTATTTTGCATCTTGTAATAATTCAGTTTGTGCTCTCAGCTTCCCAAAGTAACGTGAAACGTGGTCTTTTGAACATTATTTAGCTGCGTAGTATCAAGATACATTGCAGGGTTAGAGTTTTAGATCAGAAACTAATGAAAATGGAATTAAAAATGTCTACTGATTCAATTGGTTCTGTGTCACGAACTACACAGAAAATGCGATTTTGCCGCATTCTTCTTTGAAATCTCGTATTATAATAAATTGCCCGGGCCTTAAGCGTGCTCAATATGCATTTAAAACCTAGTATCTCAAATTAAATGCCCA